CTATTATATAGTGTAAAACATTGCTTTCCATCAAGGACTTTGCAATAGATTACATTTAGTCGTTACACAATTCATTGATCTAGTCATGGAAGTAAGACTTTTATCCAAGGACTATTGGCTTTTCTTCTAACAATCACATTATGTCTATCATTTTTAAAGATTTTGTTTAAGTTGTAAGAAAAAAAAATTCCAATAAAGGTGTGACTTGCAATGGTCATTAACAAATCTTATAAACAATTATTGAAGAATATAGAAATAGATCTTAAAACCCTCTATATTTACATATGGGCAAATGTATGTTGCTCTTTCACAATACACTTTAAATATGATAAAGATCCTATATCTTGAAATAATAAAGACAAACATACCATCATAAATATAATTTATCTTGAAATATAAATAGTTCCGTTGTTTTTCGTTTATATATATATATATATATATATATATACATATATTCACTTAGGAATAAAATTTCGAATATTTATAATTATTTCTAATATATATATATATATATATATATATATAATCATATGTCAAGTAATAAGGTAGTTCAATAATTCAATATTTTTTTTTAAAAAAATAGTTAAATAAGGAAAAAAATTAAATATAAATAATAATTTTAATGAATATAATTAGAAATAAATAAGCAACTGCTTGATGTGTACCTTTTTAGATAGAACAACAAAAATTCTATATATTTTTTTAATCCTAATCTTAAGAAAAGTGTTGTCAATAAATAAAATAGATAAAAGTATAAGGAGTCATGCAAATGTAGTAAAACTTGTATAAATTCAACTTGTAATAAAACATAATCAAGTAAAATTTATTTAATATAGTATTATTTTTCTTGCAAATTAAGATTTTTTTAATCTTTTTTTCAATTTATTTTATTCTATTTTCTCAAAAAATTTACACAAGTTAAAAATCTTTGAATTTTAAACTGAGTGCCAAAAGTAAAACCAAAAAAAAATTATGTTTTTTTTTATTATCACATTTATTTGTTAATTTTCTGTGATCCTATTAGTACAAGTAAAATCTCATGATTATAATAGATTTATTATAATAAAGTTAGTAAATGATACATTTGTTTCCGAAAGGGATACATTAGTGTATTAAATATTACAAATAAAATGATCACTAATTCTTTTTGATGTAAATCGTATGTTCTATGTTAAAAAGGACAACATGATAAGTTTTTATTTTTTATTTTTATTACAGTATTTACTGTGATAAATGGCCTCTTTTTATACGTGTACTAAAATTAATTATTTTTTAGTTATCATTGTTGCTGATGGATTATTCTTATATTTTTTACAAAAAAATTCTATAGAAAATAAATTATAAATTTGTTAATAAATTAGATTGAGATAAAAGAAAAAAAAAAAAAAAGACTGTATGTATACTTGTAGCAATGAAAATATACAAAATTTTCTGATTATTATTGTAATAATTTAAAACTTAATGTGTTTATGAAATTTCAGATAAAGATCTGAAGATATCAAAAAATTATTTTAAAATATTAAATAAGGTTTGAGAAGTCCAAAATATATTGTGTTAATTATATTTAAAATTTATGTATCAATGGCTTCTTTTCATTCTTATACTAAAAGATTTTTATGTGCCAATTAAAGTAAAAAGAACAAAATTTAAGAAGGATACATCTAAAAATCAATCATTCAATAAGTATTCAAGATTATTTATTTATTAATTTATTTATTAATTTATTCATAATAGATTTAAAATTTAAAAACTAAATTTATAGACTTAAATATTATGATATTTAATAGAAATATTTACAAAATTTATGAATAAAATTATGTAAATATAATTTATTTATGTAAAACTATAACAATTGTTTTAGATGTAAGTTGAATTGACAAGTATTTTGGATGTAGGAAGTGGCTATCAAATGTTTTTTTTATTAACTAGTTGGATTAAGGAGGTTATTATAGAAGCAACACATAACTTGAATGCATGTATTGCAAGACTTGTGATCTTTATAAAACATTAATTTGGCCTTTTGGTTAATGTAAATAAAACTAAAACAATAACTCTTTTCAATATTGTTAATGTCATTAATATGCTTTGGCCTTGTTCAAAATAATTAAGTCTTCTGAATAATGAAAAATCTATTTTAGTTTATTATTATTTTTTTAAAAAAATATTTCTAAATAACTAGTGAATGTGTGTATGTGTTTGTCTGTTTTTTTATTTATTTTTCTTTTTCTTTTTCTTGTTTCTATGAAATAACTATACATCTTAGAATTTAAAAACTATTTTTGTGTAATTTTTTATTACATTGATTTGATCGGTAAACTGTAAAAAAAATAAAAATAAAAGTAAAAAAGAGAAGGTATTTCATTTAAAACCTTAGATTAAAATAGTTTAAGAGCTAGAATATTTACAACTATCTCAGTTATAAAGTTTCAAACTATGAATAACATATAATTTATGTTATTTATTTAATTTCAATCAAATAAACATAAAAGATAATATTGATGATTATTTTTTAAATTATTAATTTTTTATCATATTTTAGAAAATGATTTAAAGTGTGTGAAATTTAGTATATTATCATTGAAAATTTTATGCAATATACTCTTAGAATTTGTTAAATAACTTATAGTATTTCAAAGATTAGTTAGATTTAAAACACCAATATTTTATTTCTTTATATAATATAAATTAAAAAAGTATTATTTATTTATAAATCAAATTAAAATTTTGAATGTGGTTTTTTTAAAATCATAATCTAAAAGTGTAAGTTCCACTTTCTAATAATACTATTTTAGACACCAACGTATTTATTTATGTCTTTTTTAGAATTAAAAAGTTGTTTTTCTGAAAACAGAAACTTAATCTCTAGTAATATTTTAAAAAATATTATACTTACTTTTAGTTTAACAATTTTTAAATATATCACGTTCTACAAATTGCACAAATAAAAGCATAAAACATACCAATTTTATGTATCAACTCAAAATACCAATAAATTATTTTAAGGTTTTTTTGTAAAAAATTATAATACAGCTGAATAGTATTTAAACATGTTGTATAAATTCATTTTCAGTTCTGGTAAAACCATTGAAAGTTTGTATGATTTACTGAAGTCAGATGAGATTAATAAATATTGTATGAAAGTACATACATTTTAAGAACATATATATATTTAAAATTTTTAGTAGGTTAACTATATTACCGAAATTATAATATTTTTTTGTTTTAAGATTTTAAATGAACACTCTCATGCAATTTGATAAGCATCGTGGTAAAGTTTTTAAAACTTTAGGAAATAAATAAAATAAACTTTTAAAAATACTACAGTAGTAAATCTGTTCTCATCAAAAATACCAACTAAGAAAATGTGATTCTATCTTGATTCAATATATTTTAAAAAAATCACGATTCAATGTACTATCTTATTTGAATATAAGGATTGTGTGTGTTTCTATTGCAATAGCTCTGGCTACATCTCACAGAAATTTGGGTGAGATTCAATCTCTTTCAAGTACCCTCAAAACAATGAATACCATGTATTACTCACATTCAATGAAACAATTGGTCTACAAATAACAAACTCTCAATTTGTTTTCTAAAGCTAAACAATCAAATTCTAAACCTTCTAAAGGAATGACCCTCTACGAAGCTCCAAAGGGAGGCAAGCTATAGCACTCATCACCGAAACAAGGATAGAAACGTTTTCATGTTAACCAGAACCAATAAAAGTAAAAAAATAATAATAAAAGAAGAAGAAGCAGAAGAAGAATATATGTAATGTAATGTAATGTAAAGTGTGTATGTATAACTGTAGCTATAGCAGTAAAGGAATCAACAACAACACCCAGCAGGGAAGAAGTGAAAGGTGAAGGGAAAGGAGTGCGGTGTGAACGCGGCAGAGGTGGTGGGGGTGGGGTTTTTCTGCAACGATAGAGATCCAGTGCCTGCCTATCCCCACCCGGCCCCTGTACTACTCACCCCCCTGCACTGTATCTACAAGCCGCGCCATGCAGGGACCACCTCCACCATGCCCCTGTATTCGCCCTGCACGGTATATTCAGAGCAGATCAATGCAGGGCAGGGGATTGCGTTACCGGGCAGGGGGTAGGGCAGGGGATTGCGTTACCGGGCAAGGGGTAGGGCAGGGCAGGGCAGAGTGAGTGAGTGATGCGCATGCTCGCATGTCCCCCGATGGTGTCCTGCTGATGCTGCTGCTGCTGCTGCTGCATTTGTTTGTTGATGGTGTTGCATGCTTTTGGGATGATGCTGATGATGCTGATGATGCTGATGCACCCTCGCTGTTGTTGTTGTTGATGGGGTTGGGTGCTTGCTTTGTCGCTGCTACTATTACTGCTACTGCTGTTGCTGCTGCTCTGGTGTGGACGATTAGGAAGCAAACGATCAGGAAGGGGAATCGAGGAAGAGGAAGAAGAGGAGGAAAGAGGGGATGCGGGAGTCGAATTGAGGAGCCCGTGAGAAGAGCTTCTCCCCCTGGCGCGAGTGAGTGGCGCGTCCACGCTTCCCATGTAGTTTGCTCACCATCGTCTTGGTGGTGAGACGTCAAACATGTAGCCAGCAGCAGCAGCGAGAGAGAACGAGGGGAAGAGAGGGAGAGAGAGAGAGAGGGAAAGAGAGAGAGAGGTGTAGGGAGGTGGGTGATGGAGATGCGGGGACGATGAGGGGAGCGTTGTGGTGATGGGGAGTAGGTTGGTTGTGTCGATGATGATGATTGGTATTTGAGTGCGCTATGGTGGTGGTGGTGGTGGTGTCATGAATCTGGGTGGTTGTGTGCTTTGAGATGAGTTTTGGTGACAGGAGGGGTGCGAGGAGGTTACAAATTTTTCAGAAGCGTGCGAGGGTCAGAGGGTTGTTGGGTGCCTAGGGTTTAGCGATCCTGGATGCGAACGTGTGCGAGGTCGGGGAGGATGCTGCGATCGGGGATTCTGTGGAGGTCGCGCGGAATTGGGTTCGTTTGAGAAAGGGTGGAGACGCAGAGAGTAGGAGACGGCTGATTTGATGGTGGAAAATTGGAGATGTTTGAGCCCCTAGAGCAGCAGCTGCGGGCGTCCTGTGTGGCATCCTCGTTTGTGCAGTGGTGGCCTCCTGATGTCGTCAGCGTGGTGCTGGTACTCAGTTGATGAATGTGGTGCGCACAGTGGGGACCTTGTGGTGATGCAATTGGAATGGCACTAGTGGAAGACAAGTTTCTTTGAAGTTGAGTTGGTTGGTGACAGGAGTGGTAGACCACGATTTTCCTCTTCATGCAAGGCTGAGCTGTTGAATTGGGATGGGTCTGATGCTGCGGTGTTACTAAGAGAGGGTTAAACGATGAGGTGCGGAGAAAGATATGGCAGTAAGTGATTTTGTTCTCCGCAGACAGCGAGTCATGGACAGCATAAGGGATGGGCGCATGTTTCCGCCTGATTCCCTTCACTCTTCGCCTCCGCTGGTTAATGACGTGGATGGAAGGTTCCAAATCGAGGAGGAGGGGCATCAATCATCTGAAGAGGCTAGAGATTATAACCACCGGACGGGCGTGACTTCCTATCTCTGTGACTTAAGGCATGAAGCCGATCATTCGTCTACTGTCGCTATGGCAGTGGCCGAGCCCGGTGTTGTGTCGCAATGGAGGATGAAGGACAGAGTAATTGCGATAAACCTTACTTCTCTTCGTATGCGTGTTTCATGCAAATTGTAACCGAATTGGAATGCAGTGAGACTCATCAACCTCACAATGATCCCAGCACGAAGTTCCCAGTGGTATTCTGTCGAGGATTTTATTCGCAGAATGGTGGTTAATGTGATGGCCAGTAGATGATCAGATAAAAGAGAGAAACCGAGATTGTGCATTTGAGCAGCTGTTTCGCTCTTTGTGGCGGGATTCCCGTCTTTGAAAGGTGAATGCTACGCGACTTGTCTCGAGAATATTCTAGGGTTCTGTCGACATAGGGTATTCGCAAGGACGAACATTCTTCATGTCTTCTTGGCTAGGGTCCAGAAGTTTATGTGCTTCGTGGCATAGTCTGTATCCATCACTTATGCACCAATGTCTTATATGATTAGGAGCACTCTCTCGCATACAATAGACCTCAGGCACATCTCCACGCTACCATTGTACTCTTAATGTCAGTGCTTTCCAATTTCTAAGGGTACTCTCTTAAGGACGGAAAACTACGTAGCATAATGTGCTGATCTAGTTGATTCGATCGACAGTGTCGTAGGGCACTGGTTCGACTTGCTGTTATTGAATATACCGAACCAGTCTTCCTAGCAATGAATAGCAGAAGGCAAGATGAAGGTTTGTTCTGCGCAATATTGTTTTACTCAACCTTGTTCTTTACTTGACTTGGGTTCCTCGACTGAATCGAATTTTAAGAACTTTTTACAGATGTGCCGACACAATGCTCAGTGTAGGCACTGAGGGGTTGGTTCCTGATTCTGGACGCATTTTGTTTTCTGAAACTTGTCAGTTGATTAGCTGATCTTTCTATTCACCTTCTCCTCACGTTGTGACGTGGAGCTCCTGAGAGTATTATTGGGTTCTGGAATACCTCATGTGAGGGATAGTCATTACGTCTTCGTTTGTGTTGTGAATATCATGCGTACAAGGAATGCCTAGACTTTTTTATTTATTATTATTATTATTATTTTTTAATTAATCAATTAATTTTAGGGAGCATTGTATTGGTACTACTCAAGCCTGCAATAGCTGGTGATGGTGGCGTGATTGCTATGAATCAGACACAGAGATCATTGTTGTATTGTTTTACTAAGCATTCTAAGCTCTACACGACTACTCAATGAAGTTTTGAACTGTCCAACTTGGGATAGTAATTTTCTCTCTGGCTTGTACAAATGGCAGATGAAAACAGGATATGTGGCGCTCGCTTTGTGCTTGAATATAGGTGTAGATCCACCGGATGTAATCAAAATATCTCCATGTGCTCGCATGGAATGCTGGATAGGTAACAGACTTGTCATCACTCTCTTCTTTACCATATGCAGGTTAGCGACGGAGGGTGACAGGTGTGGTATTTGATTTGGCGTAGGTCTCGTTCCCTTTATGCTTTTGACCTTCATGCGTACAGATTGTTCGACATGGTCTACATGGATTATAGATATCGACATTTTATTCTGATGATCATCAGTGTGGAGAGATACACTCTGAGATTCCTGTGCCTTTGCAGATCCATTTTCCACGACATCTTCGAAAGCGCTTGATGCAATTGGGAAAAACCTCCAAGTGCAGTATGAGCGGTGGCAACCTAGGGTGCGAAAAGTGTTCCTATTTTGGATTTGACTTCACATTGTTTGTTTTCAGATGTTTTATGCTGTGATTAGTAAGAAATTTAATATTGTGATGGTGATCAAGAGTTCAGCGAGTTTTGTATCTGATTACGAGTCGTTCAGAAGCATCCTTTTGGTCGCCCTTCCTTAGAAGCTGATATGACCCTCTATGTGGCTTGGAAAAGTCATTTTTGTTCTGATCATGTGGTATTTCTGTTCTTGCAGGCGAAGTATAAGGTCTGTCTTGACCCCACCGTAGACGACGTTAAAAAGTTGTGTTTGCATTGTCGAAAAAATGCCAAAAATGAAAGAGTTCTGTTTCATTATAATGGGCACGGCGTGCCAAGACCAACCCTCAATGGGGAGATCTGGCTGTTTAACAAGGTATGTTACTTTGCTTTAGCAATGTGTGTAGGGTAATCGCGTTGCAATAGGTTGAATGATCTTTGGACCATTTTCGTTTTTGGCTTATGTGTGACGCTGATGATTGTAGCATGTTTTATTTTCTCCTTCTGTGCAGCATTTCACCCAGTACATACCTCTGTCAGTTTACGATTTGGAGTCATGTCTTGGGAATCCATCTATCTATGTGTTTGATTGCTCGGCAGCAGGCATGATTGTCAATGCTTTCTGTGAGGTATGTTCCTTTTCCATATTTGAGTGGGAAATTCGTGACAAAATGTGATTTATCAAGCCCACTTTGCATAGTAGTATGGCTCTGCGTCATGCTTTATCGCTTGGTTACTCTCGTTATATTTTTTTTTCTAGTACCGACATGTTGTGATGTGCAGCGACCAGAATGGGGGACGACAACGTCTTCTACTCCCTCCATGAGGGACTGCATTCTATTAGCTGCGTGTGGGGCGCTTGAAACACTTCCGCAAAATTCTGAGCTTCCAGCTGACGTCTTTACATCGTGTCTCACGACTCCTATTCAAATTGCTTTGAGATGGTAATCTCGCTCTCTGTTGAAGTCAAAAGCATGTTTCTTTATGAGGGAAGGTATCCCAGTCTATACCATCAATATTCACATTGATTTCGGCATTCGGATCCGAAATGCAATGTCGCAAAGTCATGCTCATCCGAAAAGTCTACAATTCTTCTTTATAAATTATCATTTTATTTTATCTCTTTGCTGAATGTATATGCTAGACAACCACTGACGTTTAGATAGCATCGAGTATTGCTTGCTACTAAAAAGAGTCATAGAATTATTATCTACATTGATATCCACGTTGAAAGACTTCAGAACTCCATGTTTTTTCAGGTTTTGTCCACGATCTTTACTCTCTTTGGATCCTGATTTAATTGACAAGATTCCTGGGCGTCAGAATGATAGGAAAACACCATTGGGTGAACTCAATTGGATTTTCACGGCTATTACAGATACTATAGCTTGGAATGTGCTCCCTCGAGGTGAGAAGTTCAGAATCCTATGATTGGAAGTTCAGTATTATCTCCGCACACGCTCGTGAGCCATCACGCTGGTCTTAAAATTTAAGGAGGTCAAAGCAGCTGAATTGAAAGTGTAATTATCACGGTGAGGATTGTGTGGTGGCTTTGTTTTATTATTAGAATTAGGTGGTACCGTTACATAATATGCGATAAGCGTCAATCAGCAGCAAGTCGTCAATTAGCCGATGCGTGCCTAATTGTTAAGCGTCTTACATTTTGTTTTGGGATTATTAGAGCTATTCCAGCGGCTGTTCCGGCAGGATCTACTTGTAGCAAGTCTATTTCGGAATTTCCTACTAGCGGAGCGTATTTTACGAGCTTTCAACTGTTGCCCGCAATCATTCCCTCGCTTACCACCAACACATCAACACTCTATGTGGTATGTATTCGGTGCTTATTTACTAATTGTTTCCTCTAACTAATTAACTTATTAACTAATTTGTTACTGTTTTGCATAGGGCTTAAATAGTGATGAAATGCTTAGTTTTGTGCAATTAGTGATGAATGGAGGGACTGTGTATGAAACCTCAGCCTCTGCACTAATAAGAAAAAATTGTAGTGTGGTTAAAGTATTGCCGAATCGTGTGCTCAAATGAGTTGAATTGTTTTTAGGAATTACTGCCCTGACAACGCTGTATTTGTATAGGCATGCTTGGGATATGGCTGCAGAAATTTGTCTCTCACAGCTACCTTCCTTGTTAAGGAACCCAGGTGCAGAATTTCAGGTACTTCTCTGATATGCCGTTCGAGAGGTTGATGCTGAGGAAAAAGTGATCTTGATATTTTATTTGACCAGCGGACGATTTTTTGGACATTCGTTATTGCACCTGAGATTCTATTCATGGTGGGGAAATAGTGCTGTGGGTGAAGAATTGGTTTGGTACACAATGAATACGTCAGAGGTGGTTGTATGGTACCTTAAGGTGGTGAACAGCGCCACAGAAAATGTGAAAAAGAAAAATTGATGCGGTCTCTTGCGGATTTTGTGGTCCACAATACATTGGGTTTTTGGTGTGGTTGCCGTGGCATGGTGCTGTCTGACTCCAGATATTTTTGCCTGTACTGTTTTCTTAGAGCTTAAATGATTAGGCAATACTCATCTTCAGCTTTTCAATTAACCCGATTTATGTTACGGTTAATTCTCACTTCTATTTTCATTTAGTCAAGAAATGCCGCCTCTGAACTTGAAACTTGCCTGCTGTTCGGTGTTTGAAACCCAATTGCAGCCAAGTCCATTTTTTACGGAACAGCTGACAGCTTTCGAGGTGTGGTTGGAGCATGGTTCGGAAGGGAAGAAGCCACCGGAACAACTTCCCATAGTTCTGCAGGTAAATGTTTTATTTTCTCATTCTCCAGCTTAGTCAGCTCCAAGTTGTATTGTGTCTGTGACCTTGTTGAAGTGGTTTGCACAGGCTTGACATACATGTGATGTGAGTTATGTGTAAAAACATCATAAAATTGACCTTGGTCGTTGTGGCGTTGAACAAACAGGTTCTTCTGAGCCAGTCCCACAGGTTCCGAGCACTCGTACTTTTGGGCCGGTTTCTGGACATGGGGGCCTGGGCTGTGTATCTGGTATGGACCTTACTCTTTACTGTGGGTTCCACTTCGTCTAACATAATGTGTGGATCTTTTTGTCTCTTTAGCAAGTTACTTGGTCTAAGCCTTTAATTTGCTTCACAATGCAACATGTAATCGTGGACAGATTGCTGGCCAATCGGTGAAATGGTGTTAGAATGAGTATACTACACATACACAGGTCCTATTGCAAGATCTTGTGTACTATTCTGAAAGATTATAGTACTACAGAATAGATAATTTTATACACCTCACTGTTTGCTTGGTTATTATGGTTTGAATTTAAGTGCATTGCAGATTTTGTTTAACCTTGAATTTTCATATCCATAGGTATATTGTATTAGTGCTGTTTTAATACTTAGATATTTTGTGGGCAGGCATTGTCAGTGGGAATTTTTCCCTATGTACTTAAGCTACTGCATACCACGGCTGCTGATTTGCGACAAATCCTTGTGTTCATATGGACTAAAATTCTAGCCTTGGATAAGGTATTTTTCTTACCGATCAATGAAGCTTCGGTGTGTATTATTTTTTTTGTCATGGGAGTTACATGATAGTACTGCTTTGCACTCTATTCGTGCTTCAAGGTGCCCAAATGATACTTTCTCGAATGGTCATATCTAGTAATTCCTCGATAACTTTGCTTTTTCTCCTAGTATTACGTCTGCAATGCATCTTACGGGCATTTTCAAACATTAGCAAAGCTGCAATACTCTATGTTTAGTTTTCTTAGTAATTATCAAAGTCGTCGTTAGTAAAAGAGGTTGGATAGCATGATTGTTCTTTTGTCAGAAATCTCTATTCTTGGAATTTCATGTGTTGATCATGAGTAGTTTGAATTTCTTTCCTGTTGCAATTCTTGCTCATCTTAATTTGAGTAAGTTCTGTTAGCCATCAGTATATTGTGGTGCTGTGCTCCCCACTATCTTTGATGCAGACGTAATTGTTCTTAACCTGTTTCTGCCCTTCGTTTGTTGCAGTCATGCCAAGTTGATCTAGTCAAAGATGGTGGCCATTTGTACTTCATCAACTTCCTAGAGAGTCCTGACATACATCCTGAGCAGCGTGCCATGGCTGCATTTGTCCTTGCAGTTATAGTAGATGGGCATCCCCGTGGGCAGCAAGCATGTATTTATCCGGAAGGTCACCCAGTTGGACTAATATACACATGTCTCTCCCACATACAAGAAGCCCACAATGTTCTTGAGGGACAACCTGACCCCTTGCTCTTGCAGTGGCTATGTCTTTGCTTGGGGAAGCTTTGGGATGGGGCTTCGAACGGTGTTGCTATGGCCCTCGATGACGATGCACCAGCAATTCTTGGAAAAGTTCTGTCTGAGCCACAGCCTGAGGTGCGCAGACGAAGTAAAATAATCGTAGTGTAATTCTTTTAGGTGTAAACCAAGATCACAATTCATTGTGTAGAAGCTAAACTGTTCCTTCACTTAGGTCTTTTTATAGACTCTATACCCCTATATCCGAGCTTGTACTGATTAATTCCTTTCTGGGTACAAGTTGGGGGCGCCTATAAATTTTTTAGTGCCACTTACATAGTGGTTTCAACGTACGCTATGCACATACCTCAAGTTTTGGTGCTTGTTCATACTTTGCATCACAGGTTCGTGCTGCAGCCGCCTATGCATTAGGAACTCTTATCAAAGTGGGTTCAGAACTGTCTCGCAATGATGGAGGACGTGATGATGGTTTGGATGAAGCCACTCAAGTTGCAGAGCAAGGAATAGCTCGTGTGTTGCTAGAAGTTCTTTGCGACGGAAGTCCACTTGTGAGGACTGAGCTTGCTATTGGTATGCTTTACTGACAAAGGAATTATGTTTCAATAGTTACGGTTATGCAGAATTTTGTGTTGGGATTTACTTCTGTGAGCTTAGTTTTACGTACTCTTACGGAAATCAGTCGACGTGGTTGATGTGCGGTCTCAACTTTGCTGTGGTATTTTATTCACTCCCAGTGGATAAATAATGACTACTGTCAAATTTCTTTATTTGCAGCTCTGGCACGATTAGCTTCCAGTCACAACAGAATGTTTCGTCAAGCCGCTGCAGCTTATTTGAAGCCGCCATCTCATTCAACAATTTTACCAGCGTCCGGAGCAGGATACAGAAGCCCAAGAGCTTACCCTTCCTCGACACTGGATGTTGAACATAGTATACGCTCTAATGGGGGGACACCATATCGTTCAGGACTCCGAGTTGTTTCGAGTAATGGCTCCGCAGGTTTCTGGCATATCACACTTTTATGGACTCTTTCTGGTTTTATCTATGATAGTACTATTTTTGATACCCCATTCAGTTTAAATCTGTTCGTACATTAATTACTATGTGTACCAATCGCTCCTTCAGTTCTTCTTTTAATTTTGAATTCTTACTTTTTAGAATATCTAATTTTTAGTGGAAGCACACAAAACAATTGTAGGTTGAAATAAAATAAAATAAAATAAAATAAAATCTCTATGCATTGTAAGAGCTATTCTACTTCTAAATCATTTTTATTATTCGTTGTACTTACACAGGTTCTGCAGGCACTTCTCCATTGTCGGAAAGCCAAATGCTCGGAGATTCAGTCAGTTGTGGAGGTTCCACAGACTTAGGCGATCGATCTTGGAGACGCTCTGAGGATGGGAATGTTTATATACAATGCGTCACAGCTGTGTATGCCTTGGCTAGGGATCCTTCCCCCCGGGTTGCATGTTTAGGCCGACAAGTGCTACGAATGATGGGAGTCGAGTCAGCTCAAATTGTTGTGTCTGCAAGATCTGGCGCAAGTAAGGTTTCCCGTCATCAACGAAACTCATCTGTACCTGCTCTGCCTCCTACTCCCTCTATACCGGGTGTTCTGCTCCGATCGACTTCTTGGGTAGCATCCACTTCAGGTGTGTGCATTTTAAACCTTTCTACTACATATTAGACATATTCCACTAACAGCGTGACTTTATTCTTTCCCTTGATACTGAAGAGAAATTTACTGAGGATATTGGACCATTCTTTACACATGTATTAAGGGCCAGGGATCGGTTCTTTTGAAGGCTTCTGATTTTCAATGTCAGCTGCGCAAGCGACTCAGTTGTTAGTAGCTTTTACTTCACATTCTAGGTGTAGAATGTAACAGTCATTCTAAAGCTTAATCAGTGCTTTCGGGAACGGTTAAATACTTATTTAGCAGCTTCCGATGTTGTTACCTTTACCCATTGTTGTGAGGTGCTGGAGTCCTGAACTTGTTAGGTGTGGATATTGGTGGGAATATATGTGGATTATCACGGGAATGTGTGGATTGGACGAATACCAACTCATTGATTTTATTGAGAAAATGTTTGCATTACATGTGACATTTACCTTCCACCACATGACAGGGAATCTTGCGAGTACTTGGCGTATTTCAACTCCACCACCCAGCCCTCCCAACCAGCAGGCATTTATGGTTGGTCCTCCTAGTAGTTTACGACGGGCGGCATCCTTGGATATATCTTCAACATTAAATACTCCATGGGATGCACCTAGACCATCGGTAAGAGTGCTTGGAGATAATGCTGTACAGGTAACGTCTTTAAATCCGAGCACTGGACATGGAAATATCGGTCTCGCTGATGCCGCAGGGATGTTGTCCCCTGGACAATCAGCGGTATATCTTGAGGCGATTCCCTTGCCAGAATCTACATTTTTCAAGTGGAGTTGTGGACATTTTTCTCGACCTCTATTGGAACCTGTTCATGATGATGAAGAAGAAATATCAGCTCGCCGTGAAAGAAGAGACCGAGAAGCCCAGGACGGCATTACCAAGTGCCAGCATTCAAGTAAGTGGCTCCTTGGAAACTATTGAGGAATCTCTAATTCAAATTTTTGAGGCCGTGACAACGCTGTATGTACAGTTCGAGCAGCCTTCGATACACGCCAGTGTCAATGAGCTTGTTATTTTGGTTTTTGGGACGTGTGTGGATTAGCTAAATAATTTTGTGGCATGGGGTATAGGTGTGAGCAAAGTCAGCGACCAAATTGCGAGCTGGGATACTGGGTCTGAAATGGGGACTAAAACAGTGCTTTTGCATCCATTTAAGCCCCTTGTCTGTACTGCTGATGATAAGGAGACCATCCGGTACCATTTCGATTACATTGTGATTTTATGCATGGATTTCAGAATATCTGACTAGTTATAAGTGAAATACATTTCGACATGGTTCATGGAGGCTTGAAGTCCCTGAAATAACGTTGGATTATATGTTATCATAGCAATTCGCCCCTTGCCCATGGCACATAGGTATCATTGGTCTTTTGAATTATTACAGGTGCTCAATTTTCTCTCGTCTCTTCATTTTTCCACATAAAGTAAAAAGTTTCAAATTAAGCATACCTCTACTAAAGTGAATATCGGTCGGCAGAATATGGGACTACGAAGAAGCTGCAGTCGTGAATACTTTTGACAATCATAACACTCCTGACAAGGGTGTCTCCAAGCTCTGTTTACTCAACGAATCAGACGATAGTCTTCTCCTCGTTGCTTCAAGTGAGCCATTGACAGTTTTTGAAGTCGAACTTCTTTTCTTTTGTTTATTCTTTCATGTTTTTATTACTGATAGCCTTGCTTCTTACGTCAGTTCTTTTTGTTACATTCAGAGCTGATTATTGCTGCGACAGGAGAGCATGGCGAGATATTAATGTCAGAACTGGTATACTTGGAATGATTTTAGTCATGTAACACACTGTTCTAAATTGGTCTTTCTTTATCCTCAACTCTGGAACAGGTGACGGTAGTGTGCGTGTTTGGAGAGACTATACACAGAAGGACAATCACCGCTTGGCAACTGCATGGCAGACTGTGCAAGGCCACAAACCTGGTTCTCGTAGTATCGATGCTGTTGTAGACTGGCAACAAACGACAGGGTATTTGGTAAGTCGGCTTTTCCATCATTAAAACTCTACGCAAAGACTTGAGATGCAAGATCAGTAGGAAAGTTTAAGGGTAGCTGTGATGCACTTGCACGACGTATTATGTATGCAAACTGCAGATTATGCAAGAGATTGTGCAGGAACAGCCAATCATGACTCTAGTTCGGGAAGTGTGTTGCCTGTACCCTTACTAGGAAGCGTGACGGGCCACTCCCTGTTCTTTCTCTAGTACTGAAAAGTTATGGTGAGTTTTTAGTGTAGTGAATTTCATGGATCAGTTCTAACATGAGTGGCAAGAGTGGCAGCTTTTTTTGAGTGGAAATGTAACGCTACTGCTTTATTGTGCAGTATGCATCGGGTCAAATTTCGTGGATCTCGGTGTGGGATCTCGATCGAGAACAGCTGATTTCGACCATTTCTTCTCATTCAGATAGTTCCGTATCTGCTTTGGTATGTCTTTGAGATGATTCCCAGACTTGTTTAAACAAATTATATGCCGAAGATCGGAATATATTCGCTATTTTTGGTTACTTGCATGTGGTCCTTGCATGTGAGAGTCCCGAGTGGCCGACTCTAAATAATTAGTGTCATCTATTAAGTAAATTCATTTCCTTCTAAACCTTGTATCGACACGATCTAGGTTCTCAATCTGTAGGCTTTCCCTCTTGTTTAATAATTGTACTTAAGCAATTTACTTGCATGCCAAGTGTTAATTTATATCTTCGTTTTCTACTTTATTTGGTTGTATCTTCTTGAGCGATGAAGTCAAGTGTAGACATCAGGGTCTTAGCGAAGACTAGGGGGTCTATATAATTGGTTTTTAATGACCCTTAGTCTTGGAAGGTGCACTTTTTTGATGTTTCAATCGTATTTCTCATCATCTGTAATTGGTTTGCCGCATGGAACAACTGCTCAGATGCTGACTCTACCGGATATACATTTTTTTTGTCTCCTTACAGGCGGCTTGCCAAACACATGATGCGCATGTGGTCACTGGATGTGGAGACGGTTCTGTACGGCTTTACGACATCCGGTCTCGAGATATGTGAGTATTTTCGACCTTTGCTGTACATTAGCCATGGTTTTGTCTTATTCTTTCAAATGGTCTAGAATCAGTTTAGACTCTTCATCTTTTAGTACTTTTATACTAAAGTAGCGGCTAATAACATAATTGAATATGTGGGCACAGTTGTGATTGCAAACTTTGTATGCTAGCCACTTCTGATTTTAGCTGTTGAAAATTTCTTCGGTTTGTAGAATGAACCAGTGTGTTTTTATGTGTATTGAAATTGGATTTCTCGTGGAAATCTTTTGACACTGAGTGAAATCTCAACTTCTGACGTTGTCATTGGATAAATCTGTACACAGGCTTGTGTGTGCTATGCAGCCTCATGCACATAAGGCGGTGGGCATTGGGTTCCAACCTGGAATGGGATTTTCCAAGGTTTTTTCTTTTCCTAGCTCCATCCTTCACATTTTGTTCTGTCGTTTTGCTCCGTTAATTTAAATATCTAGATCATACTACTAGGTTTTTTTTGGTTATGTAGAGAGACTGCTGAATGCTGTTACTTGTAGAAAGAATCGCATCTGGAATCCTCAGTGCTTATGGAGCTAGGCTTTCGCAGGTGGTTTCTGCTTCGCAAGCTGGAGATTTGAAGTTCCTTGACATGCGGAAGAGCTCATCTCCTTATCTGGAGGTGAACGCCCACAAGGGCCACTTGACCTGTTTAACTGTCCACCGGCATGCACCTGTGATAGCTACAGGGTCAGGAAAGCAGTTGATTAAAACTTTTAGCACGAGTGGGGAGCAGCTTAGTATGGTAAAATACCATAGCAGCTTCATAGGTCAAAGGATTGGATCTGTCAGTGCTTTGGGTTTTCATCCTTACAAGGTCTTGTTGGCTGCTGGGGCACTTGACTCCATTGTATCCATATACGCTGGAGATAGTATTCAAGGTTGTTAATACAGTTTAGTTGTCTCTCATCCTTCGCTGCACAACATGCAGAACTTGAACTTTGGAGAGCATATCCACTCCAATTCAGGCTTAAGGGCTTAGATCGGGCCTAAATTGTTGCTTAGTTCGGCTAGGTAGGAATTATGGTCATCGATTTCAAGGATATTCTCTCTATGACGCACCTTTTTTTTTTTTTTTTTTTTTTTTTTTTTTTGTAAGTGTAGTCTGGTTTTAATATCAGTTCACCACTCTTCCTATCTCGAAGATTATGAGTCTTACCAGTAGGGAACAGAGTCGAGTGTCGCAACTACTGTACTTATTACTTCATCCTGCAGAAAAGTTGATTGAGTTTTAAGCTCTCTTTGATGGGACTTCTCAACTTCTAGCAAGTTTTCAAGCAACAATCTATGCACTTTCTTTGACGAGACAAGTTTATTTGTTACTATTCCAAGTGATTCATGCCGCTGTTCTGGTTCAAGCAGCGCCTGAAACTTCACAGTGCATTGGACTTCGTGACTCCGTGATCATGCAGCCGAGTGAGGGTGCTTTACAAATACTTATACGAGATTTGTCGCACTGCAAAACTGCAATTCGCGAAGGTTTACGGCCATGGAGTGACGCTGGATTATATAAGGAAAGGTTTCTATAAGAAATGGAAATACAAACCACTATACAAACATACTAAATATGTTTTAAAATATGTCTGGCTGAAACTATCATTTATCTAAGTATTTAATTAATATAATATCACAAGGAAAAAAATATTTTAATCCAGTAGTATGTAAAGCATATACCATTTTTATTGTTGAAATGATGATTCAATTTACCTTTGTGATATTGTTTCTATAACTTTTACAATTGAAGTTTTAATCAATAAATCAAAGATAAATTTGGAAACCAATTACAATAATGCCAAAATAAAATGTTAAGATACACTGTTTTTTAATTTTTGCTTAAAGTATATTTATTTAAAGTATTTTTATTTAGAATTTATTTAAAATAGATGTTTAGATTGATGTGAATGCTCTAAAGAAGAATCTGTAAATAAATGTAGATAATCTTTAATTTTTTATTTAATAATGCATTAAAAATATAATAATAAATATTAGAAATAAAATAGTTAATAATTGTAATATAAATACTATATTTAATCTTGTAAATAGACTTAAATTTATTAATTATTTAAATAGCCCCTAATTTAATAATAAGAAATGGATCCACATAAAAAATAAGTATATCTTATGCTTAACAATTTAATACATAAGTTGTTTTTATATATGTAAGTATGCATATATATATATATATATATATATAATGATGATGATGATAATGATGATGTAACATGATTACTTGGATCTTTACATAAGATAATAAATTCTCCTTAATTAAGAAGATTTTTAGTTTTTTTGAACAACCTCTAGAATTAGTTCTAAAGTAAAATTTCAGCCATTAAATTACAATCTACAAAGCTAGAGTCTAGATAGAGATTGCAACATCTTCCTTGCAACCTATTCATTTTTCTAGATCAATATGCAAGCACCAAACAACAAGTGCAAGATTTTTCTATAATTTTTTTTTTTTTTTTTTTTTTTTGATTTCAATCATATTGTTACTGCAATTGAGGCTTGTTGTTTTGGTTAGAAAAATCCCTAAATCTTAAAAATATTATATTTAATTTTATATGGCATATGTCAATTACATCCTTTGTAACTTGTTGCTTTTATAATACTTTAGAGGTTATTTTACTTAATCTCTTCTTCATTTCTTTACTTCTTTGGACCAAAATCATGACAGTTTTTGCAATCAATTTATGTAAAGATATTACAAAATTTTAAAACATGTTTAAACAAATCTATTGAATAAATCATTGTTTCAATAATTCATCATCTTTAATCCTCTAATATCATATTTATTCTTAGTGACTAAGAATATAGTAAATCTTCTCTCATCCAAATTACATTCGAAATGGATTGTAAAGAAATGATCTTTTGTAGACAAAGCACTCATTTTTATTGCACAAGTAAACTCTCTAACCTACTTGTCAAAGCTTGTGCTCTGAATTGATGTGCTGTATAGATTGTTTTGAGAATCTCAGATTGGTTGTCAATATAGAATTATGGCGTGCCATAAAGCTCCCTATTGAAAAGTTTATATACTCTTCAAACTTGAATTTCAATTGATATAATAAAAGAAATTCAAGGAAGTTTCTTTGTATTTGAATTCTTATGTTTTTTTTTTTTTTTTTTTTTTTTTAATTTAATTTAAAAATAATTAAGTAGTATTGATATAAAGCTACTAACTACTACATTGATTAGAAGAAAGAGTACAAAGATGGGCAGTGCTTGTCTTACACCTGGACTAATTTTAGGTTATGTAATTATAGCATTATAGAAGTAAAAATGAATAGTTTAAGATGATAGTAACTTTGTTAACACCCTCCCTTAACTTGAGCTTGATCTTTTTCTTATTATTCTTAAGGTTAGTTTTTATGTTCATATATAAGGTTGTTAATTATATAGAAGCAATAGTCAGAGACAAGCATCGTCAATCCATTTACCATCATTATTTGAAATTTCAATAATGATTTTTCAATCTTTATGTGATTTTCACTCAAAGCTTCTTCTTCCAATTCCACATAGCATTGTAGAGCATTTTGTTTGGCCAAGACTAAATTCTCTTGCTTCTCATTACTGCAGCATTTCCAAAAGATAAACAAGCATTAGGAGTCATTTATTGGAGGAATAATTGAATGTTAGGCTCTAGAAGTGGCTAGGATTGATCATCATAGCTATCTATGGATTATCTTAACAACTGATATTGAACAAATATCACTCATAATAAGGCTAGGATTTAAAATAAAATATCTATGTATCTTACTTATTAAAAATATATCTATAATATCTTGTTATATTTTATGCAATTGTTCTTTTGATGAAGCAACATATTCTATATTCTATAAGTCTCTCTATAAAAAAGATTGACTTTTTTATTTATAAAATTGATTTCTTTCAAAATCACTTCATTTCTTGATTTCTATATCATCATGATGTTTGAGAAATTTCAAGTGGCTTAGTATTGTGGTTACAAAATCTACCAAATGATCATTTATTGTTAAATAAGCTAAGTTTTTTACCCCTATAAGTACATTCTCTTAGATGAAATACTACCACATCTAAATATGCTTTGAATAAGCATGACTTACCAAATTTGTGGCAAACTTCAAAGAACTTTGATTGTCACAATATAATGTAATAGATTTGAATTCTCTACTAATGATGTGATGAGTTAAAATACAAAGCCATATTTCCTATTTGATGCCATTAACAATGGCCTTTATTTTTGCATATATGGATGATATTGCTTCTATGGGTTGTTTCTTTAAGGACCGAGTGATTACACTACTATTGGACTTGAATACATATGTTGAGATAGACTTGTGGTCATCAACATTATTTGCTTAATTTGCATCAATAAAGGCCAAAATGACTATACTATTTCTTTGATGATAAGTGATTCTAAGTTCAAACATTCCTTTCAAGTGGTGTAAAATGTACTTAATTGTATCTAAGTGAAGAATATGTAGATTATATATATAATAACTAATGGAATAAAAAACAAACGAGATGTTGAGCTTAGTATTCAAAAGATAGATCACCTTTCTAACAATCATACAATAAAGTGCCTCATTAATAGATTTAAGATTCTCTTCTTTCCTTAACTTAATCCCTTTGGACATTGAAACAAAGATGTTGTAATACTTAATCATCTCAAATTTACAAAAGATTTTTTTAATGTAATTTTATTGATCAAAAAAGATATTAGTAGAAATTGTACCTTTAACCAATTCATTGTTGTTTTACTATTGCAATTTAGAAAAAGATCATCTATATAGAAAATAAAAATAAATAATCTTCTTTTATTATTTCTAATATGATATAATAAATAATTAGCTTCTATTCTTATTATATCATGAATTTATAAAAAATCATTAATTTTTTCAAACCAAGTTTGAAGAGCTTATTTAATTTCGTAAAGTAATTTAAATAACTTTTATATTTTTTGAATACTATGATGCTCAAAGTCTACTAGAATTATCATATAAATTAATTCAATTAAATTAACATTAAAAAATATAATTTTAATGTCTACATGAGATACTTTTCAATAATAACTAATAGTAATAGAAAACACTATGTGAATTGACTTCCATTTTGTTATATTTTTCAATATAGTTAGAATAAATATTAGAATAAATCAATAGAGTTAAGAAGAAAAAATATTGGATATAGCTAAATAAGATAAATTATTAAAGAAAAGTTTTATTTAGGTATTAATAGTTGAGTATAATCATTATAGTGGATGAAACAATTGTGGTTTAAAAAAACACTCTTCTTTCACACCAAAGCATATGCAAATTGATACAATTTATTTTAAATTTCTTATTCAGCAAGAAAAGACTTGTCTATGTTAAAAAGGTTTCTACCTATATTATAGAGAATCTAAGCATATTACTCAATATTATCCAAAAAAAATATATAATTACAAAATAAGGAGCATGGTTGCCAAAAAGGATCATGTGTCAAAAAACAAGTTTTTCCATCTATAATAGAGATTCTGCAGCTGGATTCTTACATAATATCTAATAAAGGCCATATTTTCTCTTCAGATCTTACACCTTTTTTTCTAATAAATTTTTTTTAGGACCAAAAAATCACAAAGTCTTAGCCTTATTAGATTCAATAATCTTAGCCTATTTTATAGATGAAGACTTTGTCAAAAAATAAGAAATATTTTTGCTTAAGAAAACCAAACTTGTGCATATAAAAATAATAGATGGATATATTTTTCTTTTAATATTTTAAAGATGTTAAATATGAAATTATTCCTATAAATTTAGTAAGTGATAGTTATAATAGTTCAATATTATTTAATTTAATTAGATTTCTTTTTAATCCAATTATTTTAGAATTATTGTGGTTAAAAAAGAATAATCTTTAAATAGATTGGATTTTTCATAACCTTGAATTTTTTCATAGTTTAGACAAAGTTTTTCATAGGGAAGTAAAAATTCATAAGACCAATATATTCAAACTATTATTGGTAGGTATAAGAGCTTTCATGCATATTGCAATAGAAATGTCAACTTTTACTATATACACTACACCTATTGTTGATGGAGAAATGTTTTCAAGTGGCATTCCAAGCCAATACTAAGATTATGAAGACATTTTTGAAAACAAAAAAGACAAATATTCTTCTAAAGCATTTTCCTTATGATTGTTCTAACAATCTTCAAGAAAGAATTCAACTATCATTTGGACCAATCTATAGCCTATCACAAAATGAGTTGGTTGCACTTAAGGAATATATT